GGGGGAAAGGATGATATTTCAGAGTGTTCGGAGAAATAGTGCCCAGCTTTATTTTCCTGAACGTTCGGAGAAATAGTGCCCAGCTTTATTTTCCCGAACGTTCGGAGAAATAGTGCCCAGCTTTATTTTCCAGAACGTTCGGAGAAATAGTGCCCAGCTTTATTTTCCCGAACGTTCGGAGAAATAGTGCCCAGCTTTATTTTCCAGAACGTTCGGAGAAATAGTGCCCAGCTTTATTTTCCCGAACGTTCGGAAAAATAGTGCCGGCCATAATAAAATTATCTCTTTGGTGCGGCTAGAGAACTTCATTTCACCTCATTAAAATAGGCCTGAAATCGTCGGCAGGCGGATAAAATTTCCTTTAGAGCCTTAGCCTAGCCTGGAAAGCAAAATTTTTCTGGCAGAGAGAATTAAACGATTTTAATTCTTTTACACATTGTATATCTCTCTCTACGTTATCATGACGTTATGTATCTTTTCTTTCTTTTTTCAACTTCAAAATTTGGAAGTTGAATTTCGAACAAATAATTTCTTGAGCATCCAATCAACAGCAGATGTTAAATAACTTAAGAAACTGATGGGGGGTTTTTAATTCTTAAAAATTATGAATTACATGTATTTTGGGCTTAGTACATTTTAACAGACAGCTAATAAAATAGTTTAAAAACCAAGTTAGGACCTGGGGCTAGGCCTGCTAGCAGTTGTGGGGCCTAATAAAGCCTATCTAATAGCTAGGTTTGTTTCCCTTTGTAGGCCAGTAAAAATTGACATCGAACAAGGACATTAAGATAACAACCAAATTTTTGTGCCAACTTGAACTTTAAGAGCTAGAATCTAGTACTACCAAAAACAATTAAACCAAAATCGCCCTTAGGGAACATGCTTCATTTTAACCAAATAAAAGTTTTAAAAAGTCAATTTTTGAATTCCTTAAAAGATGTCATTATTTGCTCAGAACGAAAGAGATAGTCAAATGAAAGACAAAAATACTTTTATTTTTAAAATTGACCCAATAGTTATCTCTTAATTAGCATTTAAAGATTATAAAAGGTCATGGTCATAGTCAAGGTCATCTTTTAAAATAGCTCAAATATGATCGTGTTTGGTATCAAATTCAACGTCTCAACAAGAACTATTACCTTACATTTAAGTTACCTATTGACGGTAAACATATGATTGAGATAATAATGTTAAACGTTTAAAAACAAAAAGAAATGGTGTGGTCATAGAAACCTCAATCCATGTTCGGGCATAGATCTAGCATGCATAGCTCGACTTTTGTATGCCAAGCTTCATGAAACTTCGTTGGTAAACAAGGGAAGATAAGTAAAAATAGTAAAGTTGGGATGAAATAAGACCGTTTCGAGATTTCACCTTTGAAACCC